TGCTCCGTCCCGGCTTTGTAGGGATGCGAGGTCAATGGTCTAACGACTACGGCATGCACGACTATGAGGACACCCCCCCCTCCACGGTCCGATCCATTTTGGATTTCACGCCAGAGAGTTTTGGGGTGTCTTAGCTCTAAGTCCTCCNCCCCCTCCACCGTCCGATCCATTTTGGATCTCACGCCGGAGAGTTTTGGGGTGTCTTAGCTCTAAGTCCTCCACCGCCCAATGGGGGACTTTAGTATTTATTTTAATGCCGTACCAATAGGCATTAACCTTAGGTAAGCTTGTGCTTACTTTGGACTGTACCCTCCTCATCCTCTGGGGGAGGTAGAGGGGGGGGGGGCGCATGGTCTCTATTTTTCAGGGGGGGTTCGGGTGCGGGTTGGGGGTCGGGTCTATGTGTACTGCAATCTCGAATTGTCCCCTCACATAGCTACTGTGGATTTCAGTTACATCTATCCTCACTCAACGCGTCTCTGTGTCCGGCAATGTCCAATGCAATTCAACCTGTGAGGTTTCAGCATACAGCTTTCTTCACTCAATGCGTCTATGTGTCCGGCAATCGCAAACGTCACTCAACCCGTGAGGTCTCAGTATGCAGCTATCCTCACTCAAAGCGTCGACGTGTTTGGCACTATCCAACATCACTCAACTCGTGAGGTTTCAGTATGTAGCTATCCCCACTCAGCGCGTCGATGTGTCTGGCAAACTCAAAAACCAATCCATCTGTGATGTTTCAGTATGCAGCTATCCTCACTCAACACGTCTATGTGTCCGGCAATCTCCAATACAAATCACCTGTGAGGTTTCAGTATGTGTCTATCCTCACTCAAGCGTCTATGTGGCTGGCACTATCCAACATCACTCAACCGGTGGGGTTTCAGTAGCAGCTATCCCCACTCAACGCGCCTATGTGTCTGGCAAACTCAAAAACCAATCTATCTGTGAGGTTTCAGTGTACAGCTTTCGTCGCTCAACACGTTTATGTGTCAGGCCATTACTCAAACTGTGAGGTTTCCGTAAACGGCTATCCTCACTCCACTCGTCCATGTGTCACGCGTCTTTGGTAGCGCACACAAAAGGGGCTATATTTGGGGTGGCGTGTTTTACAGCGCTTTGCCAACAGCGCCAACCCACTGAGTCTAGAGAATGGGGGGGCCGGGGGAGGGGGAAGGAGGGAGGTGGAGGGAGAGAGGCAGCATCAAGCTGGTTGCCGTAGTGTTCAATCTCTTTCGGTGTCACCAGGATTCCGCCCGGGTTTCGCACGAGATTGGTCGATGTTGTTGTTGCGGCCCACCCAAGGGTCCCTCCGGTCTTTCTTTTTGGCAGACACCTTCCTTCATTCTACCAGTCTTTTTCCCCCTTCTTCTCTTCCCAACTACTCTCCCCTTCCTCCGCACGCAAGGCCTCCGTTGGATGATATTATTGCTCATGGACACCCAGACATGGTCTGTGCCAGCTTTGTCGGGATGCGATATCTATGAATCGGGGGCCTAAGGCACCCCCCCCCTCCACGTCCCCTTACCCCTCCCTCAGGAGAGTTACCATAGGATCGGGAACACATTTTTGAGCCACCTTTGGCAAAGTAGCAAGGAACGACTGCACATCGGGGATCTACCCTACGGGAACAATGCTCCGTCCTCTCTCTCTCGAGGACGCGTGGCCAATGGTCTAACCTCTAAGGCAAGCAAAACATGAGTCCCCCCCCCCCCCCCCCCCCCCCCCCCCCCCCCCCCCCCCCCCCCCCCCCCCCCCCCCCC